TGCAAAATTACCTTATGGCAAGGGCAGTACCCATTTGAACATTCTGACTTTATGCAGTTGCAGCCTATCCTTAATTTTCCATGATCGACCCTTTTCTCCTATAAAGAGCACATCAATGAAATTATAACGAGTCCACAAAAAGAATTGATGGAGTAATGTGTAATAATCTGATCTGTAAGTAATATATATGAAAATGAATACTCACAAATGCTGAGGGATTTTTGCATAGGATGCTGTTCTTTTTCTCTTTGAGAATTGTCATTTCATGCTCCAATTTGTTATAACAATCTTGGCAGTTACAGTCTTGGCCACATTTTGCAGAAGCAAAACATTCGCAATAACTGTAAAGACAAACCAAAAAAGAAAAATCACACAGATTAATAATAAACAAGTAATAATACCATACTTATAATATATAATTGGAAAGTTTTGGCCAAAAAAAAAAAACATGCTTATAAAGAAGGCTTACCGCTGTAGACATTGGCTGTTCTTACAGTTGCATGGCTCGCTTGATGTCTTCTGCCTTTAGTTTGAAAAACAAACAATCAGTTGTTCATCCAAGAAATGAGTAAAATTAATGATTTGATAAATTCCAGATTATTCCTTCTTTTTTATCTTGCCCTAAAAGAATAAAATTTAATAATTTATCCTTCAAATCTTTTTTCATTTCAAACAAGATGAAAATAATCTTATTAGAGCAAATCAAATAAATGTTCCTTGAGGTTTTTTTTTTTTTTTTTACAACCGGAATCACATAAATTTCGCTTAATTAAACTGGAGAATTTGCTGTGCTTAGGAATGAACCATGGAATAGTTGTTAATTAAGAGAATGAATAAAAGAAACAAACCTCTTATTTTGGGGATACGGTAATTGGATGAAATGGTAATTATCATGATGGTGGCCAAAACACTGAAGAGCAGTTGTGGTACTTGGGTGATCTTCAACTGGGCCCTGAAATTGAAATAAATTGCAACATATTAGCATTAATTTCATACTAATTGAAATAATATGAAAATAGTTTTATCTCAAAAATTTCGAACACAGTACGTCAATTACGCTGACCTGATGATGTTGAATTGAATCTGATGCAGGGTTTGATGAAGGCACATCTCCGCCAGTAAGGTCGTTCATTGCAAACAAAACTCCTTCAATAGAATCTTCAACCGGGTCCTGAAATATTGAAATTAATTATAAATATATTAGCATTTCATCTCTCTATATGTATATATACTGCTACTACTCAACAAGCTAAGCATGTCATTATTCATAATTGATATTAGGATAAAATTTTACTTTTATCATAATAATAATAATTTATTTTCTGAAAATGTTATACTTTTTTTAAAAAGTTTTTTTGTGAAATTAATTTTTAAATATTTAAATATAATGATATGTGGTTCACCTAGAAATTATGGAAAATTAAATAAGGTTTGAGATTGATTCATTTTGACGGAAAGATTAACTAAAATAATATGAAAACGGTTTTATCTTAATGCTTTCGAACACAGTCAATTATCGGTGCAAAAAGAAAGAACACAGTTAAATTATGGTGTCACCACACAAAAAAAAAAAAAAATCCCTGTGATTACCGATGGAATTGAGTTGAGATGATGATGTTGAATTGAATCTAATGGAGTAGGGTTTGTTGAAGGCTCATCTCTGCCAGTAGAGCCACTCACACAAACTCCAAGAGATTGTAAGTCGGCAGGGGTTAATAATGATGGGACCCCTTCATTATCCATTCCAAACAAAACTTCTTCAGTAGAATCTTCAACTGCCTCCTGAAATTAAAATTAATTATTATAAATATGCTAGCATGTGGTTGACCAGATAACGAAGAAAAGAATATACAACAACAAGCCTGATCTCATTAAGTAAAGTCGGCTATAAGGATCACAAGACACGCTATTATGGTTTAATAAAATAAAAAAGTGTATGGAATTATTTCGTGCAAAAATCACAATGAACAAAACATTATATATGCAAACACAACAACAAACCTAGTTGATCTCATCAGTTGGAGTCGACTATATAGATTTAAGATGTCATTGATTTATTTTGACATAAAATTTTAACCAAAATAGTATGAAAATAAGTCTATCTCAAAGATGGCAAGATAAATAATAATTTAATTACCAGAGTGGCATGTTGATGTTGACACGAATGAGATGCGGGGTTTGTTGTGGGCTGAGCTTCATCGCCATTAAAGACACTCAGATGAAGATCCGCAGATTGAAAATCACTAAAATCAATTAAATCAGTCAGATCATCCATTATTGGTGATGTTGATGCTGCTGGCACACGATCATCCATAGAAGGCAAAACTTCTCTCTTGGAATCTTCAACCTCCTCCTAAAGTGAAAATAAATTGTTATATATTAGCACTTCATCAGGAATTTATAAATATATATATATGTGTGTGTGTGTGTGTGTAAATATACAACCCACCCCACGGCCACGCGTTTTAGTAAAATTTTTCCTAGAATAAATAGGATAGATATATGACTTGCTGACAAAGAAAAAAAATATATGACTTAATTTTTTTGGTTGAAAATCTTTTATTTCTCCTTATGATTGTTCAGAATTCATATTATATTGTTATAAAAAAATAGAGAATTTATATTATCTTTATATAACTTTTTAATGCGTTGAAAAATTGAAACAATCAGATTATTGTATTAAACTAGAAAACATCAATAATGTATAATTAAATTAGATTAGAGATTAATTTTATAAAAAATATAGTTTTATCGATCTTTTTAAAGATCGCAAGAATTAATTACGTTGACCGGCGGAGGCTTGCGGCGTTGACTTGAATCTGATGATGCAGAACTTACCGAACAGTCACTTGGATAATCTTTGAGTCCCAGAGATTCAAAATCAAAACTTGGTGAAGGTGGCAATTCATCTCTCGTCATAAAGAAAGTTTCAATGTAATGTCCGATTGGTTCCTGAAATATTCAAAAAAAATATATTACACACGTTTAATGTGTGTGTGCACAAAGATATCACAGAGATACCTAGCCGTTGACTTCAAAAAGATATAGTAATATTTCATTTATAATATTGCCATGTAACTATATTACAAAAAGAATTACAAAATGAATATAAACTAAGATGTATATGTACTTACTTCTTCTAAAATATTGCTGGCAAGATTTTCAGAACTCATTATGGATCCTGAGCTTGTGTGATATTGCTCTCCGCTTCGTATAAGTTGGGTTTTGGTCAAAATGGTGGATGATTGGGTTTGGTCACAAAAACACGAAAGGATGTGTGATGAAGAGAAATATATAAATAAGTTCGATTTTGGTCAAAATGAGGGACGATATATAGGGTTTGTGTGGGAAAAAAGAGAGAGGATATAATTTAATGATAGAAGAGAGTTTTATTGATGAGAGGACCGTTATATCGAATCTGATACACTTGGAAAAGTGAATCTAGTATAACGTGTGTATTAAGTGGACCATAAGTCAAATGAAATAATCCTTTAGTCTTTATCTAAGACTTGCTTAACTAACTTAGTTAAATTAAAAAAATTAAATAAGTTAGTTAATCATAAGTAATATGACATCATGTTTCTAGAATACACTCATTATATTTTTGGGATTTATACGCAAAGTTTACATAAATTTCAATTGTTTAACATAGTAACGGAATATTGCGCATTCTTCTCATTAATAATAATAATAATAATAATCCATCTTTTTAAAATTGAATCACGTCTCAAAATCAATTGACATTAATTATGGAATTTTATTTTAAATACTTGTAAATTTTCTCTAATATGCAAAAAATGTAATAGAAAACATAAAATCAATAATAAATCATATTATTCACATGATAAAAATATTGTAATTTATTATTATTGGATGACTATTTTTTAAGATACACAGGTTTCAACTTGAGAGAATATCTGATGTTCAAAACATCAAACTCCTTCGGTCCTTAATACAAGACACATTTAACTAATTTGATTAGATTAAGGAAATTAGGGAAGTTAGTTAATTATGACATGCTCTTCCTAAAACACCATAATCATCTTCCTTAATATCCTCACTCCCTCTTTTACTTAATTATGGTTGAGAGAGTATACATAGGACTAATTTAGAAAAAATTGATAAATATGAGAAATATGTCTTATATTTAGGATCAAAATTAACTTAACAATTAGGTTCTATATCAAGGACCGGAGGAGTAATATGTCATTACATTAAAAGATGCGCAAGTGATTTTGTTTCATAACACTGAATTAAAATGAGATGTAGAATTCGTTCCTTGGTTTCAACATGAATTATACGAATGGATTAGAATATTTTGCATTCCTTTCACTTCCTAGCATAATATTATATAAATATATTCTTCCAATTCAGTCATTTTGAAAAGGAAAATAGTTAGATTAAAATATTTATATTCACTTTGCCAAATTCTCTAATCACACAAAGTCATCTACATTATTTTTTAATGTGAATTTTTAATTAAATATTAATATTTTAAAAATAGAATAATGACCTTATGTGATTGAAAAATTCTCATAATAGATATAAAAAACCTAATGTAAGTACTGTCTATCAGAAAATTCTCCTCTGGGATGTGATGGAAATGATTTCCTTACTTTTTGAGTCCTTTCAACCTCCTCCTTAGACAGACCTGATGCATAAAATTACTATACGTTTGATCCCAATAACTCCTATCCAATTTCAGTAACTCAAATGGTTCAAAAATAAAAATGTTTAAACAATAACATATTCGTTCATTTTCAAAGCCTTAAATATATAATTAAAAGATTATGCATCACATAAATCCAATACTTTCTTTGCCTAACTAAAATATCAAACGCGTTTTTATCTTCATCTATTTATGACTCTATAAATAAATTGCTTTGGCCAAAAATAACCCTAAATAAATTAAATATCCTGGAAAAAAAACTCAACATACGAGCTGATGTACAACGCGTATGAAATATGAATGATCATGCGGCAACTTGAAAGCTGAGATATGCAAGGATACAAGCAGAACCCACTATTCTATATACCATCAAACAATTATTACATTCTCAATGTTGACTGAAATTTTTACAAGGCAACCAACCAGGCATATCCATTCCAAAAATCATCAATCCAGCAACAAAGAAGTAAAACCCATGCGTCATTTTACTCACTGCTGAATTCACCAAAACCAACTTCACTGATTAAATGCTTTACACCTCCAGGGAAAAGAAAAAGAAAGCAGTGTTACGTTATTATAACAAGCCTGTGCTTCCAAATGGATTGTTATTTTGTGGGTGTGAAACAGGATTCACAGGAAACGCCCTGTAACCCGCATCGCCAAAGGGATTGGCTGGATTCATCAACACATGTTGCTGCCGAGGCTGATAAGGCGAGTAAGGACCAAATGGATTTGCTTGTGGTTGAGCCATGGCTGCCATTTGGACCGCGGGAGGTGGAGGGATGTTGCTTGATGGGGCAAATGGATCTTGCACTTCAAATGGATTCAGGGCAGGTGTTCCGTACACTGCCTGCTGATTTGCAGATCTATATGCCACTTCGTCGTATAAGCTGTTAAGAGTGAGCGTGTCCAATCCACCAGCCTAACATTCATGGACAGCCAAAAGTAGTAAAACTTCTGAACCTAGGGAATGTATAATGATTGCCAAAAATAAGAAACGTGCACTCCTAATATATGTATGCGAGGAAAATGCAAGCCTATCAAAAATAATATGCTCCTGCAGCAAGAGAGAATACAGACCTCAAGTCTGTTCTCTTGAGAAGCAACACTGACAATCGCAATAATAACCATGTCCGAATGCATAATACATTCTGACTTCGACACATTATTTCATACTATTGAAACGACATCATTTTGACCCCTTCCTACAACCACCACAAGACCACATGCTCATACAAATTGAATAATTTCTCAAATTGTAATTTTCATTGACACAATTTTAAAATAATGACACGATGATATTATGTGAAGTTGATTATCCACGCTAATTTATTTTACCAAAAAAAAAAAGGATAACATGGTCATAAAATTGTATACTTGAGATATTGAGAGTCATAATGTAAATTAATTTCACGAAATGGTAGAGACATACAAACTTTCTTTCCCTTTTACTTACTGCAATTTATAAGCAGAATCTGAATTTCATCTCATATGCAAACCAATCCTACTTAAAATTTAGACCCATGTCCTACACAGGACACATGAAAGACACACCAATTACCTCTCATTGACTTAAGAAATATTGTTACTTGGATTGGTGGCAAGGGCAAGCTCCCACCCGGTTGGATCAAAATCTTTTGTTTGAGCAGCACCCGCGAGTCAAAAGTTGATGCAGTTCCCATACGCACAAAAGACGTCCATTACCTGTTGAACAAGCTCCACTCTACGGCACTTCACTCGGTCTTCTTACCGGTCAGAACCCTCCGCAGGTAGCCCTTTCCGGTTGGTCAACTCTCAATGAAAGCACCAATGTGATGAGCATAAGCCCAAGGGGAGAGCCCAATCCCAAAAGACTAGCCTATTAGGAGGGAGAGCCCCTTGAACTTATAAACCCCACAATACCTGTGAGATTCTCCAATGGGACTCATAACACTGGGTCCTGAAATATTGAAATTAATTATAAATATATTAGCATTTGATCTCTCTATATGTATGTATATTGCTACTACTCAACAAGCTAAGCATATCATTATTCATAATTGATATTAGGATAAAATTTTATTTTTATCATAACAATAATAATAATTTATTTTCTGAAAATGTTATACTTATTTTTTTAAAAAAACTTTTTGTGAAATTAATTTTTAAATATTTAAATATAATGATATGTGGTTCACCTAGAAATTATGGAAAATTAAATAATTTTTGAGATTGATTCATTTTGACGGAAAGATTAACTAAAATAATATGAAAACGGTTTTATCTTAATGCTTTCGAACACAGTCAATTATCGGTCCAAAAAGAAAGAACACACAGTTAATTATGGTGGCACTACAAAAAAAAAATTGTGATTACCGATGGAATCAAGTTGAGATGATGATGTTGAATTGAATCTGATGGAGTAGGGTTTGTTGAAGGCTCATCTCTGCCAGTAGAGCCACTCACATAAACTCCAAGAGATTGCAAGTCAGTAGGGGGTAATAATGATGGGACCCCTTCATTATCCATTCCAAACAGAACTTCTTCAGTAGAATCTTCAACTGCCTCCTGAAATTAGAATTAATTATTATAAATATGTTAGCATGTGGTTGACCAGATAATGAAGAAAATAATATATAACAAGCCTGATCTCATTGGGTGAAATCAGCTATACGGATCCAAGACACGCTATTGTGGTTCAATAAAATAAAAAAGTGTATGCAATTATTTCGCGCAAAAATCACAATAAACAAAATATTATATATGCAAACACAACAACAAACCCGGTTGATCTCATCAGGTGGAGTCATTGATTTATTTTGACACAAAATTTTAACCAAAATAGTGTGAAAATAAGTCTATGTCAAAGATGGCAAGATAAATAATAATTTAATTACCAGAGTGGCATGTTGATGTTGACATGAATGAGATGTGGGTTTGTTGTGGGCTGAGCTTCATCGCCATTAAGGCCACTCAGATGAAGATCCGCAGATTGAAAATCACTAAAATCAATTAAATCAGTCAGATCATCCATTATTGGTGATGTTGATGCTGCTGGGACGCCTTCATCCATGGAACGCAAAACTTCTCTCGTGGAATCTTCAACCTCCTCCTAAAATGAAAATAAATTGCAATATATATTAGCACTTCATCGAGAATTTATAAAAAAAAAAATTTAAACATACAGCCCACCCCACGGCCACGCGTTTTAGTAAAATTTTTCTTAGAATAAATATGATAGATATATGACTTGCTGACAAAGAAAAAAAAATATATGACTTAATTTTTTTGGTTGAAAATCTTTTATTTCTCCGTATCATTATTCAGAATTTATATTATGTTGTTATAAAAAATAGAGAACTTATATAATCTTTATATAACTTTTTAATGCGTTGAAAAATTGAAACAATCAGATTATTGTATTAAACTCGAAAACATCAATAATGTATAATTAAATTAGATTAGAGATTAATTTTATAAAAAATATAGTTTTATCGATCTTTTTAAAGATCGCAGGACTTAAATACGTTGATCGGCGGAGGCTTGCGACGTTGACTTGAATCTGATGATGCAGAACTTGCCGAACAGTCACTTGGATAATCTTTGAGTCCCAGAGATTCAAAATCAAAACTTGGTGAACGTGGCAATTCATCTCTCGTCATAAAGAAAGTTTCAATGAAACGTCCAATTGGTTCCTGAAATATTCAAAAAATATATATTAAACGCGTGTGTACACAAACACATCAACATCAAACTGGAATTCAGAATTTCATCCAAACATGGCGGGTGGCATTATTACTGAGACAACTAGCCGTTGACTTCAAAAAGATATATTAATATTTCATTTATAATATTGCCATGTAACTATATTACAAAAAGAATTACAAAATGAATATAAACGAAGATGTATATGTACTTACTTCTTCTAAAATATTGCTGGCGAGATTTTCAGAACTCATTATGGATCGTGTGCGTATGTGATATTGCTCTCTGGTTCGTATCAGTTGGGTTTTGGTCAAAACGATGGAGGATAGGGTTTGGTCAAAAAAACACAAAAGGATGTGTGATGAAGAGAAATATATAAATAAGTTTGATTTTGGTCAAAATGAGGGAGGATATATAGGGTTTGGGTTGGGAAAAAGAGAGAGAGGATATAATTTAATGATAGAAGAGAGTTTTATTGATGAGAGAGGACCGTTATATCAAATCTGATACACTTGGAAAAGTGAACATGATACGCCGTGTATTAAGGGGACCACAAGTCAAATGAAATAATCCTTTGGTCTTTATCTAAGACTTACTTGACTAATTTAATTTAATTAAAAAAATTAATTAAGTTAGTTAATCATAAGTAATATGACATCATTTTTCTAGAATACACTTAATATATTTTTGGGATTTACACGCAAAGTTCACATAATGATCTTTTATGTGTCTGATGTTAGTTTATATAATTTTCAACTTATAAATTTCAATTGTTTAACATAGTATTGGAATATTGTGCATTCTTTTCATTAATAATAATAATAATAATAATAATAATAATAATAATAACCCATCTTTTTAAAATTGAATCACGTCTCAAAATCAATTGACATTAATTATGGAATTTTATTTTAAATACTTGTTAATTTTTCTCTAATATGCATAAAATGTAATAGACAAAATAAAATCAATAATAAATCATATTATTAACATGATAAAAATATTGTAAATTATTATTATTGGATGACTATTTTTTAAGATACACAAGTTTCAACTTGAGAGAATATCTGATGCATCATTACATTAAAAGATGCGTAAGTGATTTTGTTTCATAACACTGTAAATTAAAATGAAAGGTAGAATTCGTTCCTTAGTTTCAACATGAATTATACGAATGAATTAGAATATTTTGCATTTTTTCCCACTATAGATAATTATTTATTTTTTGAAAAAAAGAATAACAGCCCTGATCAAGATCAGAGTTTATTTAAAACAATTATTATTTTCTATATTCAATAAAATATTTTTCCAACGCGTACAAATAAAATAAATATTTCATTAATCATGGTTTGCATTCATTGGAGTACCTGTGTGTCTGTGTGTGTTTGTTTGTATCAATTATCATTTTATTTTATTTGTAGCTGGATTATCATTTCCATACTAATTTTTCTTTTGATCATTAGCTTCTAGTTAAAATGAGATACGTCCCCGTATCTTATAGTCATGATATGCAGAAATTTTGTATTTATTATGATTTTTCAAATAAAATACCATGAAACTGTGCTATAATGATAGACTTAATCCCTTGGCGAATTTGTCAACGAGGAGCCGCAGTGTGTGGGTCAATTGTTGGATAGATTATATAAATAAATATATATGTATATATAAAAGGATGGATGGCAACATTCGTTGACCATTTTCTTGAACAAGATATTAATTAACACAGGTCCAATATCTATCAGCTGTGGTTCCAAATAAAGATAAATGGGAGGTCCAGTTTGATCCAAGTGATCGATAATTCCCATCAAATTTCAAATACTTATTGATTTTTAAAAGAAAAATGATTAAACAATCACATAATTTGTACATTTTTTAAAAAACCTAAATATATATAAATCCAATAATTTCTTTGCCTCACTAATTTTAAATTTACTTCTTTATGTTTTGACTGTTGTCTTATCAAAACTTCCTAGCATAATATTATGTAAATATATTCTCCCAATTCAGTCATTTTGGAAAGGAAAATAGTTAGATTAAAATATTTATATTCACTATGCCAAATTTTCTAATCACACAAGGTCATGCGTATTATTTTTTAATGTGAATTTATAATTAAATGTTAGTATTTTAAAAATAGAATAATCATCTTATGTGATTGTTAGATTATAACATTTATATTTAATATGCCAAATAACTCCTATCCAATTTCAGTAAATCAAATGGTTCAAAAATAAAAATGTTTAAACAATAACATATCCGTTCTTTTTCAAAGCCTTAAATATATAATTAAAAGATTATGGTATTAAAATAGAAAACATCAATAATACTATCTCCGGTCCTTAATAAAAGACCTCGTTTGATTTTTATTTTAATTTTAAATATAAGACCCCAATCTATTTTATCTCTCATATTTATATATATTTTTTAATGTAATCCTTCTATTAAGAGTAATTTCAGCCAATACACTTGATTAGCAAGGATATTTTAGGAAAGACCATATATCTATTATAAATAACTAACTTAACTTATTTTCTTAATCTCTTCAAATTAGTCAACTAGCTTTTATAATTAGGACCGGAGGTAGTATATAATTAAATTAGATTAGATATTAATTTTATAAAAAATATAGTTTTATCAACCTTTTTAAAGTCCGCAAGAGTTAATTACGTTGACCGGCGGAGGCTTGCAACGTTGACTTGAATCTCATGATGCAGAACTTGCCGAACAGTCACTTGGATAATCTGAGTCCCAGAGATTCAAAATCAAAACTTGGTGAAGGTGGCAATTCATCTCTCGTCATAAAGAAAGTTTCAATGTAACGTCCGATTGGTTCCTGAAATATTCAAAATATATATATTTATATTTATATTAGA